TGTATATTTACTCCACTCTGACCCCCCCCCCGGCTGCATCAGGACGAGACCATTCGAAGTTACTAGAGCGGTGGTGGCTCGGGGGAGGGGAGTGGGTAGGGAAACTTTCACCTCCGTTCGGCTACTGATTATTATCTAAATGCCATAGGATGTTAAAGAAAGTATCATAGATATCATTTTTTTTCCGCTTGAATACCCCGAAGAACTTGGACACGCTTCAAGAAGTTCCTAACAACTCTTCCATTCCGATGGCGGATGGGGAAGGAATGCCCCCCACCCCACCCTACCCCCCAAACAAGAAGAAAAGGGTGGAAGGACAATGAGGAAGGCGAAATGGAGCTGTTTCATTTCTCTATGTTCACAAAGCGTACAAAATTCCCAACTTGTAGGCCTCAACCCTCGGAAGGCCACAAAAGGAAAGGTACAAATCGGAATAGCCCTCCCATTTGGGGCCTTCTGAACATTAATTTTAGTTCATCTGCCTCTTCCCTTCTCCTGCAATCCAGCTTTGACTCACAAAAGTCGACATTTTGACCCACTCCACCTACATTTAGGAAAATTAAAACCCTAATTCAGAATAAGTGATCATTTTGAGTGACTTTAACACAATGTCATAATGTATGAACATGATACACAGCATGAGGTGTGTACTCCTTAACTTCTCGGTTATTCGCCGTAGGTGCGAAATTCATTAGGTCTTCTTTTCGGAAAATATGGGATTATGATCAATGAAGTATTTCTGTACTTCAAAATTTGCCAAACTCCGCTTATTCTAGATCTCAGCTCACGTATAAAGGTCCATTGTAGTGGTATGACTTAAAATCAACAAATTGCCCAGCCGTGGAAATTCGAAAGGCGGAGGGTGCAGTGTCTCACTTCAAGGAAAATTCTCCGCCGGGCCGAGGTGTAATTTACGAAGCCCCGTGCGGTTTCTTTCGAAAAGAGGGGTTTGGGGTGCCAAGAACGAAATTGTGGGATTGTGCAAGTATTGCGCAGAATCAACTCCTAGAGTAAAGAGCTCCCATCCGGGTAAATGAGACAAAAATGTAGAAAGTTGAGGGATGTCATTTGAGAAATGGCTGCTGACAGAGATGGGAACGTTCACTTTTTGGGGGTGAGTTTGTTTTTTGCGGATAATTAAAATTTTAATTAATTAACCTACTAATTTGAAATCAAATAGAGTCTGAAGAACCAAACAACACTTTTTTTGGTTTGAGAGGCCTCGCAGACTTCAGTTGCCCGCACTGGGGCTCCAACCCGTTGATTTGATGCCATGCACGATATGGGGCCGATGGGTACCCCCCCCAGTCCAATCCCTATACACACTCTAGACTATTGTTAGCTAACACACCCCCCCCCCCGTTGTCTGTAAAGAATTCCTCAGATTCCGATCAAACAATAACCAACACAAAGGGGGGGGTGCTCTCCGCCTCAGATCCCGCATCATATGGTTGATTTTACACTGTAAAGGAGCTTGAATTAGTGCAGTGTATGGGGGAGTTGCTAAACACCACCTGACATAAAACGGGCGCATGATACAAACCGTTAACCTTCATCAAAGCGGCATTTTTTAAGCTTTGGTACTTCCTCTCCGATGTTCAGTAGGCCTACGATTGAATACTTTTGGCTGTTAGGAAGTTTGAAAAAGCCAAGAAAGGAAACCGAACTCTGGGAAGATTAACAAAAACTCAGCTATACAGAAGTATAAAAAGGAAGACATTTTGTAATTGTAAAGTTTCAAAATTACCATTCGTTAGATATAGACCCCACCTGGATTACGCCATGCAAGTGGGCCTATGGAGCCAACATAGGCAGAAAGATATAAATACCCGGGAAAAAAAGAATTATGTCTCAAAAAGAATGGATAAATCCGGTGTCAATGTTCTAGAAAGCTCTTCACAGAAACTTGCTAAATCCAGACCAAAGGGTAGTAGATAGCTGGAATAAATTACTTGAGTGTCATCCAACACTTCTCTGCTCTAAGAAGAATTGAAGTAACTTGGGCTTTTATTCGGCAAATGAACACTGACATGAATGAAGATGGAGGTGTGGCCTTCAAAGTATGTTCAAAGTTTATACAGGCCAGCCGCTGTGGCCAGTAGACGGGCGGGGCGCCCCGAGCATCCGATGCGAAACATGTCCACGCATCTCAAAAACCAAACCAAAGCATTGAAGCCTATCAAACGCTGCAGTCCCTCCCGACCAGGAGAGGTCGCTCTGAAGAATCTCAAGCCACCTTCGAGGAATTAAAGAGTTTAATTTAATTTTTTTTCTCCAATGCACGGGAGACTGGGTTCGTGATTCCCGTGTCCGTTGATGTTCATCAACCATTTGCCTATGAAATGAACACCAAAGTAACAGAGAGAAATATCCGGAGTGTGGAATAATGTCTTCCAATATATTCTTGCAGTAATGACCTAGATGGTGAACAGACTATATACTCAGAGACATCAACTTTGAGACGAAGTCAAAATTTAGGAAAATTTCCAATATTAAAGTACCGGTAACATACTTGGTGCGGGCACACCTGGAGTTTGGCCCTATCTGTTGACACCACAATTTCTGCAGTGGCTGAAGTTCACTGAGTGAACGCAAAACTTTGTAATAACGAGATACTACCCTAATGGCATTGTTAACATCTTCGATCAATCTTAGGCTCCGTCTCAGGCTTCAACTGTTTTTTACTAGCTCACTTTGAAGCTGTAAGCGCAGTAATCAGTCTAATAGTGCCACAGAACATCAAATAAGACGCAAGAAAGCCTAAACGTACATTAATCCAATGTAATTTAAACGCTTCAGGCCCACAATCGGGGATTGGTTTTGGGAACGAAGCCTGAGACGGAGACGAAGTTGAGTATTGGAAAATACTGCATATAGAACTAATGATATCCAGACTAATCCCCTTCATGTTGGCTGTATATTGCACATCACGAGGGTCGGTTATAATCATTATATATGCTGAAAGGCAGTGAAAAATTTCGAATGGGTGGTGGGGAGGGCCGGGGGGCGCTACATTCCCAGAATTTCGAAAGAGTAGTCACATTTACGAATGCCCACACTTACAATTTTTGTTCTACATGGACTTTCGATGTGGTATTTACTCTCACTTTTTGTCTAATACATTCTCGACTTCACCAAAATAAAGATTTTCCTTAGGGAGTTTTTAGTAGATAACCAGAACACTTATCCTAACTTTTCCGATGGGCGACTTCACGAAAGTACCCAATACGTGTACATGGATGCAACGGATATTTGAAAGTTGACCCCCGATGGCGCGCTTCCAGAACCCCGGACAGGAAAAATAACGTGCGACAATTTTGAATGTGATTTTTTTCCCCCAGTTACTTCTTAAAACTCAACTAGCGAAAAGACCTTTTGTAAACTATTTGCTGGCATACCAATTTATGGAAACTGAAAAGTTACCTGACCTAAAGAGAAACATCCTACCAAAATTGACCTATCACTTCCGAAATCTAAAAGACACATGAAGAGCAGTCCAACGCGGTGGTCTCGTGGGCAGATGACCAGTTCTGGAATTGTACTTTATGGTAGACTGTCGCAAAAGCCAAAATAAACACAGACCAAAATATCTTTAGGATTTTGTAATTTATAACGAAATAAACTTAAAGCAATAACCTGGTGAAACGAAAGATTCTAAGGTTTAATCTAACCTTTGCTGACAAGAACTGCGTCAGGTCAACTCGACTGAATCTAGAGTCCATCGACTGCAGGTAGGTAAATCTTTGCAACGTTGTACAATCTCATTTTCACGTAAACACGGGGAGTGAAAACAAACGTGCATGAACCAGGAGACCTGGGAACGATACTACTGGAGGTGAAGGTTATTAATAATATTCGTTTTCACCCATCTCTGGGTGACTTTTGCTTGATATTACTTGATGAGAACAAAGGGAAAATTTTGACATGAGTGTTTCTTGGGATGGTTTCAGTTAGAAGTCATTCTTTCCAAAATTATCGAACGTGATAGAACGACCCCATGTAAAATAGTATTCTTCAGGTATCGCTTCCTCCGTAATGAGCCAGGAAACATGTGGGGGTGACTCTGGGGCAGAGGTAGCAGAGCTCAAGAAACAGTTAAATAGTGCATCTCCATAAAACTGCATTCGATTCAGCAGTCTGTTATTTCCACAAAAGTACAGTGGCGTAGGCCAACCTTGGGTGAAATTTCTTAGTGGGCAATCGGGGGGTGCGCAAATGTTTTAAAGAGGGCACAGAAAGTACAGTAGATTACGTGTGGCTTGTGCATAGCCTATGTGCATTCAACAATTCAAATGGGGAAGAAGGTACTATGTAAGTACCCGAGGACGGTGAATGAACTTTCGCTGGGGGAGGGATCCACACACCCATTTCCCCACCTTTTTGAAAAAGTCCATTGTTGTAGGATACTGTCGCCCCTTATAAATTTTCTGCGGTGCAGTTGGGACTTTTTGCCTTTACAGACAAGGAGTTGGTTTGGTTAGCCATCACTGTAACCGATGTCACCATCATTTGTCAGCACAATAAGCTCTTGACACTTTCACTATCACCCGCCCTACACTCACCATTACCCTCTCGCCCCCACACGAATTCCCGGTTCCCCAGGTGCCCACTAAAAATAGATGAATGGATATTGAACAAGGCTAACAAAAGCTTGCCCCAAAAACCCACATCACTGAAAGCTGGTGCCCCCATAAGATGCTGATGCCCCCTTTGTGCCCCCCCCCTGTAAAATTCTAGGTACGCCACTGCCCCTCGCCCGTATCATCACTATTACGATTTCATCACCATCATCACACAAAAATCACCGCCTCCAGCACCATCACCATTATCAACGCACCATCACCACAATCACATCATCTTACCAACACCACCATCGTCATCATATGATCCCCACAACAACCATCATAATCTTCATCATCCCCTCAACATCATTCATTACAGCCATCATCGTCATCACCGAAGCAACAAAAAGCCACCTCCCCTTTGTAAGAAAGTTTAAAACAGAACACTTCAAGCCGCCAATCTTGCATTGTGTCGGTATTTTAATATCAAGGAAGGGATAAAGGGCATTCAAATCAATCAGTAACCAATCAATCGATTACCAGCTACATTCTAGGACCGTTTCAATCACATAAATTAACAAGTATCAAATATACATTAAAATATTTCCTCATATATTACACACGGGTCTGTTCGTGTTCGTTTTATTAATGCACGCCACACAGTTAAATACAAAACGGAAAGTTCTCTTGAAATATCATGTACAATAAAACTTTTTGCGGTAATCAAACCCTCTATCAATTGTATCAGAGTAAGGAATAATTATGTTCACTTCGATAAATTCTACAGTTAGACCTAAAAAGTGCGGATTATTTTTCTTAAAATGTGTTAAAACCACCGTCGTCTTTGTTGAGCGCATAAGATCACTCATACGAACTACACTTATATAATTTACACACTGGAGTGTAAGATCCTTGTTTTTTCTTCCAACTAAACTGTTTGAATTAAATGCTAGCAAGACGAAAGGCAGTTCGATATACAGTTCATATTTACAATAAAAAAATAAATAACAAATAAATAAATACAAGGAGGTGATGAACACCGTATAGACTCAAAGATGCAGACAAAAAAATCGCACGGCATGGTACCAGTCACGGTCATCAACGAATAAGAGAAGAACTCCTTCACGGGTCCCCCGCTAGCCATTTTGGGAAATTTGTCACATAAATGATACACACAAGATAAATTGAGAACAGAAAAAAAAATCATAAAAAAGGTGGATAACAATCGGCAGAAACAGATCACCCCACCACCTGTAAAAATCAACAATACAGTTGAGCAGGCTTAGTGGTATCATGTCTAATACAATTATATGCCAGATTTAACGTTTCTTCACTGGTGGATCCGGCGTGGGGGCGTGGCCACGCGGGACACACGAGCAGAATGTGGAAATAGCACATGATACTTTGAATACAATCTCCCTACCCCTTTTCGGAAAGAAATATATTCTACTGAAGACCTCAGCCAGAAAATGTGGTTATGGGCCAGCCCTTTCATGATTGCTCACACAAAAGGCCTACCAATCGCTGGCCAAGGCCAGAGTGGAATTTTTTACAGGAAGCACAGACTGAGGGCGCACTCTCTCGACACCTTGGAAACCATGAAAAGCTCATCTTCGGCCCACACACGAAGCGCGACGCGCCCGAAACTATCGGCTGTCGACTTGCAACATAGTACTTTGACCGCTTGGGAAGGAGGCAATCCACACCCACCCCCTCTCTAAAACAGCGGGTCATGTGTCAGTTCGGTCTGTCTTGTCTTGTCTGTCTCTCTTGTGTTTTGTCACTGTCAATAAACTGTCTCCACCGTACACGCGCAGTTGCCAAATTTAGACACTCTAAACGATAATACAAGAGGCGTTCACCGTAGTTTTGGAGATGATGATTCTGAAAAGAAGTAACGTCAGACTGAAACATTAAACATCAAAAGGAAAACAAAATCGTTATTGTCAGCCCTGGATTCTTGCTAGCCCTAATTTTCGAGCTGGAAGTTTGTTAAATATGAAAAACAACAAAAACAAAACGGAAAACCAAACGAACAAAATCTGTCGGTTTCGTTGGCAAGAGCAGTAACGTACATGACAACAAATAATTTTTGTCAGGGAGGGGGTGTTATCGCAGAATACTGGATGGGGAGGGAGTTAACATCGTTTGGGGCAAAAAGCCGCTGCTCAAGCACGAACATAGCTGGGTTTATAAGAAGCTTTCAGGCAGTCTGTAAGGCCTATTGAAGGGTAACCCCTTTTCTCACAATTTTCAAGGGTGTTCAAAACCAGGGAATTCATGATGTAACATGTTTCAATTGAAGTCTTCCACTTCTAAGCAAAAAAGGGAGCCCAAACGGTGTGAAAAGGGGTTCTTAGATGTACAAAGATCACTAGGCCACGCGCACGTCGAAAATACTACAGGGGCACAGAGCGTAAGTACCTTCTAGTTCTGCTTTCGGCTTTCGCATCTTGTCTGGTCGAGTTGTAACTTTGATACTCAGTAGTCGATGAGTAAAGGCCGTTACTTAGGAAATCTCAGGAAATCATGCATCTCAACAGGTCTGCAATGATTACATGTACTTTGCCACAACACATCCAGTGAGCATCGTGCGTCAACACAACAGTAACGTCTCGAAAAACAAAACAAAACACTAAGGCTCGTTTTACACGAATCGCCCCTCAAACACCCCGTTTTTAAGGTTTTACCACCTGTCAAAATCCTTGTTCATCTTCCTGCTTGAAGGGCTACCTTTCAGGCTAAAAATAACAAGAAAACATAGTGATCCTAACCAGGTCAGGGTCGACGAGAATTCAAGTGGTATCAAAATCCATGGTACATTGGAATTATAAAGTCCAAAAACGTCACATTAAACATACTGATGCCGAAATTAAAAAAATGCTAATATTTACGCATGAGCCTATAAGCTTTTTCCCAAGTTCGGTTATTCATTTTTATTGGTGGCGCACTTTCAGGCATACAGTCACAAGATAAAACTTGTTGGTTGTGCGTTGAGCCGTATAAGTTTTTGCATTTGTGCAAATGGTTGAGGGCGGAGTGCCTAACAACCTTTCTTCCGCTAACGTCACAAGTGCAGCAAGTACAAAACGAATGAATCATTGACAAAGTATACGAAGATCTCATGTACAATATTCCAACACAAAATAATGAATACTGCAACTAAATACAGAAAATGCTTCCTATGTCAACGCAGACGAAGCAAAATGAGCATTTAGAGGCAAACGCTACCAACCAAGGGTAAACTGTCTGCAATTTTGGCAGTCAGTGTTTGTCAGTAAAAGAAAGGTCTACAGAAACCATGGGCCATGTCTGAATAACTTAGCTGTGCCATTTAAGTATGTAATTTACGTCTACGGTCGTAGCCGCAGCCGGTTCCCACAGCCAAAGCATTCGGACGCGGCCAACCTATCCACATCAGCCACTAATACTAAAGGGCTCCCTCAGTTGTCAGCTTCCGCACGGGGTTAACAACATTAGCACAGCCAACTGTGAGACATCTCATGCAATGTACAGCGGGATTTGATGAATGGGTCTTCACCAGATCACCACAAAACCTTCATTAAAAAAGACCCGAAAAATAAGAACATGGAGGTTTTCTTGACACACTACGGGACTGATGCTTTGAAATGAGGCCTACAGTATGGGACTACCCGTAGGGGTCGAGATGTCGCCCGTATACCCGATTGCGCTATCTACGGGCGCAAGATTTTGACAAGGAAACGCAACACACCAACGGCATCTGAACACCCTGGTGGATGGAAGGAGTGCATTCCCATTGCACGCTGGAGAGTTGACTTGGGTTGCCGTTAGCAATGGAGCCTTAGAAATATAAGAAGTCGCCTTGAGGAAAAGGTCGTGGGCTGAGCGAAGCTGGAGGTCGACGAGGGTTGGGCATCATACTTGGCTTTCATTGATCAGACAAGATTTCTCGTTCACCTCTCGATCTTCGATTGAGCCTGTGCAAATCAAACAGGGGAAAGGAAAGTTACCTTGAAAGATACCGGTAGATATGCACTCTAAATTCTACAGGGTCAAACTGGCTCGGAATCTGGGCCTACATTTCCTCAATCTTTTTCTCAGTCAAAAGCTCCTTTTTTCCGGGTCACTGACATTTTCATAGGTCAGTTGGGCCAAGAAGAAAATTACATGTCCTTTTTTTACCCGAAAAGGTTTAATAAAGGCGTACGGGGGATGTACAGGGGTCACATCCCCTATGACCCCATGCCGCCGGTACCCTTCCCCCAGTTTTTGAAATGTACACAACCTATAGGCCTACGCAAGCCCCAGTTATTTTGCTTTCAGTGACTCTTGCCCCAACACACAAATTTCCACCCTTTACAATTATGCTAATGTGTAAATGAGTAAATCTGGACGCACATTCCGTGCTAGTTCAACCCCAAAGTTCGTAGAGTCTGGCAATTTATTCTAGTTCCACTTTGTATTGCTGCTCGTGACAAAGCGCTTATCTGACTGAGCAGGAGGTACAGGGCTCAAGACCCGTTATGTCATGGAATCCCCCACATGCACACACACTGTACTGGGTGCATTAATATGATTATAACTTCCAGCATCAAAATTATTAACATAAACATCTATTAATATAGAAAGATAAATAAATATTTATTCGCCAGTGGGGCAACCCAAACCCCCTCTGTAGGCCTAAGTCAACAAAGTGTTTTGATTGGATCTTCTTTCTATCACTCTCCAGTTGGGTTCTTTCCAGTCTCCTCTTGTTTCTCACTTGCCACAGACAAGACAGCCTTCCAAATTCTTATTGTCTGCTATGGCGCTCGATGGAATTTGGGCCCAAGTGAGCCGAGGACAACACTTCAAACCTGTGGCCTTTGAGTATACGCATTCATTGCACTGACATTGAATTTAACTGAACACAAACACAGTATTCGGGTTTTTTTACGGTTTGAGTGAATGGCCTGGCTCCTTTTTTTTTTAGTGAGATTCAGAAGTAAATAATTTACTAGCAGCTAGTTTGAGGAAGACTTGATGGTTACTTTCTTGTTTCGTCCTGAGAAATGTTTTGCCCCAGAGAAATAATGATGCTCTCCCGGCATCAGATGCAGAGTGCAAATGTAAGTACATGGCATTTTGTCTGGTAACCTGCTTTTACTGAATACATGTAGTTTATGTGCGAACCTCGGTTCCGTATTTAGCAGCTGTGCAAAATTGGGCCCTGGTTTCACAAATTAGTTCTTAGAACGTATTATAACTTCTAGCGACATGAAATTTGTTCTTCCCCAAAGCAATAAGTTTATACTATTTCCCTCGATAATTACTAACTCATCTGCTCCTGCCACTTACTAAATGACTTAATTTTTTTGCAATGGGTTATTCCGTAAATAATGGGTCCATTTTTTTCGTGTCGTCACATATGACATAATGTTGCAAGCTTAGAACACATTCAATTTCAAAACGTAGTTAACTAATGCAAACTACTTGTTAAACAAATCAAGATAGTTTGAAGTGAATTTCAATGACATTTCCACGTCACTTTAGGCAGGGCAGGTGTACTGAAACAGAAGGTGAAACTTTTGGACCCTGGATGTATAGAATGACTCAATGAAACTATACAGTTGGACTGGAGGGGTGGGCTTTGTCAATCGTGCAGCGAAAACGGCAGGGGAGTGCTTCAACGCTAACGAACACGCACACACACACCAAGAAGAAAAACAAGCGAGAACACTCATTGGAAAGCTACGTGTACAGTACATTCGCAAAATTGGAGTCACGACACAAGGCTGAGAAACAGATAAAAGTTACAAACAGGCGGTATCAACCACAGGGCTCAGGTGATACCGAAGATGCGTCATACAGAGAGTGCGTAGAAGCTATATGCAATCCTGTGTCTGCATTTCAATGATGCAATGATTTAACTCAGCTATGCAATGATTTGCTGAAGTGGGTTTAGGGGAATTGAAAATTGTCAAAACAACTTCAGCGTCGGCAATAAGTGATCTCATTTTCACCTATTGCTGAATTGCTGAAATAAATTATTTGGATCAAGGTGCCCTAATAAATCATGCCATCAGGTTAGAACTCTAACCTCCTAGGGACTATTGAAATCCTGCATAACCTTATTGGGTTCAGCATGGTTAGGTTTCAACAAATTATTTTTGTATAAAACGAGATTAGTGTACTCTATCCAAAGGCCATTGACATGAGTAAATGGATGCTGAATAGGACGTTTAAATGTTCCTTCTCTACTGATGGGTGCAGTCTGTTCTAATTTCGTGTACGTGGTGAGTATGTTTTAGTAGCCTAAGTGTTTAACTATTAGTACAAGGAAAGTATGCCTCGCAGGGAGAGCTGATTAATTGCATAGGTTGAAGGTGCAAAGATTAAGTGGAATTATGTATTAATAGTTATTAGTATCAAATCCCAATCCATGTCGATGCAAACTCGCAGGCTGCACCTCAGTACCTACCGGCTTTTTGAGGCGCTTTATCAGAAGATTGTCTCATCAAGGGCTGGGAATATTAAATAATTGAAAGATTGTCTAGACAGGGGATGTAAATTGACCAGACAGGTAGAAGCCGATGTTCGTTACGCCGGCTTCCATACAAAATGACTCAGTCACAATAACGGGTTGTATATGGTCATCAATTGTGATTTCATGAAGTTAAAATATTTAAGTTAATAGGTTTGCCAAAGCAGATGATGCATAAGGTGTCCTGACCTTGCTTGCAACAACATGAACATTTTTTTTCATTGCCAGCCTCAGTATGATGCATTCTCAACAGCCTCACCACGGAGTGTTAACAACGGGCCACTCTGTATGCACGCACACAAAACGCGCATCTGCCGCCAATATAAGTTGCTCAATCATTTCATCGAGACTTGCTCAAAGTCGTCACACGTCTGCTCTTATAGAGCACCAGAATATATACCCGTCCTCTGCTTGGCAAATCGTTGATCAACTGTCATTGAATTATTCACCGAAATGCACTGCGCATTCCAGTCTGTTCAGTTACTGGGAGTTAAATACCGCTCAGTCAACAAAATTCTGAATCCATGGGAGATTTTGGGATTTATTAAAGGTTTATGATGGGATGAGGGATTTATAAGGATTTATGCAGGTGTTGTAAAAAAATGACGCATGTTTCACGACAGGAAAGAATAATTTCACTGTGCGACAAATGCCAGCTCATGAAATTATTCAACCTTTGCCATTATAAGAATTCAGCAAATCGGTATATTCATTAAATACCGAATTTACGACACGTTGTCATTACCGTTGAATCATAACAGGGAAAGAGCAATTCCATTATCTGGGCTGCTAGTTTTGCAAAAGGCCATGTATTCATTCGAAGTGAAATTTTCATGTACAAGCTTGAAGTGTATATCTGGAAAAGAAATTTTGCCGGTCCTAGGCTTTAAAAAGCGAAAGACAGCCTAAAAGAAGAAATAACTCGTGAAATGAACTTAAAAGATTTGAAATACATACACGGCAACAAAAATAGACGTAAGAGTCAAGGTGATGACTTAAAACGTGGAAAATGAGACAAATGATAAACTATATTTCATAAATACATGTACAAAAAAATACACTTCAACATAATGAACAATACCCATGCTCCTTTTCCCTTTTTTTTTCTGATAAAACGCCTCTTTTTCCTAATACATGACTATTGCTCGGTTGGGAGACTTATATATGTATCTTGGGCACTTCTTATCTTCGATCCCGTTTTCCAGGGTCTCCGCATCTGAAATTTCATAAATCTTAAGTTTTTTTTTTTTTGGTAATTGTGATTCTTAGGATTTCACCTGATCGATTTTACCAACCTGGTAACGACACCTTGCGGTTACCAGTCTCCTCGTCAAAGTCGCTGACAGACAGCTGCTCTCTTGGCGAGCCGGCTGGCTTGTCCGGCTCGCCGTTGAGTACCACGTTGGTCGCGGTGAGTAGCGTCTGGGTTGAGTCTGTCGTCGGATTATCGTGTTTCCCCTCCACCCAGTACGTAATCATAATGCCTTTCCCCTATTCATCAACGAGACAATGATCGTCAGTAAAATGGTGATATCTAGTTTCAGAAGGCTCTTCAAGCTCTGGAGCATTGTAAGTTCACGGGCATGTAGCTTTGAAGAAAATACAAAGGGGCACAGTCCTGGCTTACTCGTACCTTTAAGGATAAGGCACCGCGTTTCCTTTTGCTCCTTTAATAATCGACACTATCCACGGACCAAACACACATACTTTCGAGGAATGGCCTTTAACAAAAAATCAACAATCGAGGACAGGACAAATCGTTTGTTCTCTTTTTATGGATGTCCTCTCTCGTAAAACCAAACCAGCCCACCAAATATGTAGGCCTGTCTTCCCCTGCTATCATATCACACAGACCGCCAACCACTGGTGATCGGTCTTTCATTCAAAATGAAATAGTTTATCATTCACGGCAATGGGTAATTGGGCATGTTTTTGCGAGTGGTTGCTAGAATAAAAAATCAAGTCATGTGGAAAAAAACGGGGGGTAATTTTAGGTAAACAGAATGATGCACGGATATACGCTACTCAAAAAAGTCAAGGACCACCTTATTATTTTGTGCATACTTTGTTTTTACATAAGATATGTTACTGCTGAAAACGTGCATTTGATGTTTTGAAATATTAAAAAAAAAGTTTTTCCAATGAGAACACTATCTAGACAAACAAAAAATGAAAAAACTAGACCCCACTCGTTGCTTGGAAGAAAAATATAAGTTAAGAAAAAAAGTGGTCCTTAACTTTTTTTAAGTAGTGTACATATACATAAGTTACGTTTTAAGCCATCTTAAGTGCTTTTCAAATATTCATTAAATAAACAGCAACATTAATTGGGTGGTGTTCCATTTTATCTTTCCTATTCCTTTTTCTTTTGGGGAGGGAGTACGTACAGGCAAGAGTGTTAATACTTAGCTCCCTCGTCGTGTGTAAGAAAAAATGCTACTGTTGATTGTTTGAACCTGTGAGGTCAACGGACTCTCTCGAACTCTTAGGGGGTAGCAGATGGCCTTCACATTCGAAACATTTGAAACAAGGAAGAATACTTTTGCCACGGATGAATCATTTTGCATTCCACAACCATTTATTTGCGATGGAAACTGGATGCAAGTTATGCCTGGAATGACGTCATGGTTGTTGGGTAAGATCATTACCGCCCGTTAGTTGGGAAACGCACCGGGCAATAACAAGTCATTAACAATCGCTAACAATTTGCAAACGTCACCCTGTGTGTGGTGAGCATCCTCTGCTAGCAACGGCTAACGCCTACCGTGGCGCCATGTGCCAAATGACCTAGCAGCTGTTGAATAATTAAAAATTTGTTACACCAGACCTTCATGGATTTTGCAAACGGAGTCCTACATTACCTTGACCGGCATTTCCCCTCGCATCACGGTGTCGTAGCCGCCGAGAACGTCGAGGATTTTTACGCATGCTTCGCTCGCTTGGATCTTCAGAGCTGTTTGGAGAACAGAAGCAGAGGGAGAAGGTTTTCAAAGTTGCAGGCCACCGTCTGAAGTCTTGGCCGATCCACATGGCTTATTTGGCGGCACTGCACAGCCATAAAAAAGTTGGTGAGAAGTGTTGGGACAAAAGGTCCAGGGTACCATACCCAAGCAATTATCTCTGTTATAGATTGATTGGATGGCATATTCCTGAGTTGCCCAAACCTTAACAACAACAACAACAACCATGATGTCAGTGACAGTTTGAGCTGATGAAGTGTGGATATTGTTCTATGTGGGCATAAAAAGGAAAGACAGGAACTACCATGGTTCCTGCCTCTGAGAATTATTTGATACTGACGTTTAAGCGGCATAAAGCCAAAGATGTCCAAACTTCGACGATGCGGGCGTTAATACAGATTAAGTTATATCATGTAGTCACATTCTGCACAATCTGGCACGTTGAAACGTTGTGTAATATAATTATTGTCTATCATCATTACTAACACAAGTGATTTATAAAACTGAGTGATCTTCGGTTTCCTTTTTACACACTGTTGGAAAGTCCATAGCAAAAGCTCACTAGAAGTACGTACATCGCTGTTAATTTCATGCAAGTATAATCTGCAGAGAGGTTGCAAGTCGAAAATCCGACGCCATGCTTGCAATATACAGACTTTTGAACTGCATTAGGCTATAGTTTTAGGTGCTGAATTCAGAAACAAGGGGGGGGGGGTCCCGAATCATCTTACAGACGGGAGGGGGGGGCTGCGATGATACAGAAGAAAATGTCAAAGGGTGCAAATCCCGTCCCGGCTCCTTCATGATAGCCGTGCATAGATAGGCAGCATCCGAAAGTTTTGACTGCGGCTCAAAATAAGACGTGAACCTATATACTTGAGCCTCGGCGACCGTAACAACTTCCCCTGAGCAAGAAGGTTGTTCCCGGACGTAGCTACTTGATTCGGAAACGATCTGCGTAAATTTCCCTGTTGGATATACGCCAGGAATAGAACAAACTACAAAACTAACAATTCATTTTCTGCTAAGGCTTAATATTTTGACCACTTTTTGACATTCCTTGACCAATGTATTAAGTTTGCAATTTTGGTCTCCGTCGTAGACGCATTTTCAACTCGACGTGCTATGCTGCGTAGGCTTACCGGTAATCTAATAACGTTCACCTATAAGCCGAGCATTGGCAAAGAATCGATCCGGTTAGCAATCAGATGGCCATTTGAGTTGCCAACCGCTGCATGATGAACTACCACCGTGCCTTCCATGTTTTGTCTGCAATTACCGTGTGTTATTTCTGGTCTGACGGTCAAAAATACGACGGCAGTAATTGGTCACATGTGGCTACAGACGTTGAAGTATGGTCAATTTAGAAGAAAACATCGTGCCAAGAAGAAACTTAAGATCAGAGGCTGTGTATAGGAGAAGAGCGGAAAAGGACGGATGCCTTGGGTTTAGGAGAGATTTAAATCCCGCAACATAAAATACTATCCATTCGGCACAGAAAAATAATGTCTGTTGATACAAAACCGTATTCAACCCACACAAGACTCGTGACCTGCAACCAGCACGTCGTTATATTCGTAAATACACTTCTGTCGGGAACCGTGAAGGATTCCAATTGCATGACAAATCTGGAAAGTTTGGAATTCTTTCCACCATCAGATGAAACTGTGAGTTTTATCCGAGAGCTTTGGGGCTTTGCTGCATTTGTAAGTTTGGAGAAAAAAACGAACTTGCCATACACGCATATGTGCTATAAAACATAAAAGTCTACCAGACAATGAAATATGCAGAAAAAGTATGTCTACAAACTTCCCAGGATGACGTCATCATGATGTCACCATCATTTTCACCTATTACACATCCCGGTCTACCTACATACCAAGAATGAACCTAATTAAATTAATTTATTACATTTTTGTGCGCCCTCTCTATCCAGGAATGTTCAAGGGCGTAAGTACAAAGTTACATAAAAATTACAGTAAGAATTCATCACAATTACAGTTAAATGCAAAATCATAAGAAGTCTAAAAGATATAAGACAAATAGGACTAAGCAAATAAGTAAGTTCACACAACACACATGAAAGCTTAAAACCACACAGCAAATAAAATTATGGACCAGAGCTCATTCCAACAAAGAGAACCCTTCAACTGGACACACAAAAAAACTAAATGAACTCAAAATACACCAGCAGAAAGCACAATTAAAGATAAACAGGGGGTAAAACTGAGTATTTTAAGACCCAAATGCCTCTTTGAACAAGCGGGTCCTCAGTTGTTTTTTGAAAACACCCAACGATTCAACTCCCCGTACTACAGGCGGTAGCCATGACCATGATGAGGTCATCATGACATGACCTCAAATTTCCCCTATAACACATTCTTCTTTCACTCTATGCCAAGTTTTATCCAAGTCTGGCTAATGAGTCTGGAGATACTGCAAAGAAATCAACTTTGCAGACGTGTCATGTGATCTTTGACGATGCCATTACAACCTCACTGGTCATGCTTTGACTAACACCTTAGCTCTCAGGTCCTTGTTTTGGGAAGGTCTGAGGAAGATGCCAACTTGTTCAGGGTAGAAAAAGATAATGTACAAAATCATGAACTTTGGGGAATAAGAATAACGGGCAAAAGAAATATTACAAGAAAAATTAATGCCTTTTCCAGATGTTAAACGGGATGAAATCAACTTTCCAAATTATATTCAAGACCTCAACCATAACATGCAGTTGGAGTGCGACATAAATATAATTTTTTTACTACTTTTAACCAATCGAAAATAAAAGTTAATACTGATCTCAGAATTAAAGGGGGGGGGTAAAAGCGCCCACTGTCTTGCTTAATTAGTTGCAGTTTCAAATCACAACGAAATTATGCAGACACTTTTCGTGTGGCTGAATTATCTACTCAGGTACTGCTTGTGGGCAAGTTTGACAGCAACTTTACCCGTATAAATAATTACTCGTTAAGTGTTTCATATGAGTGAGCACGACAGATTTTCCGCAGTTTGGCAGAGAATACGTTTGATGGGCCTGTGGTGGCATATTTCAACAACTTGGTAGACTCTTCAATCACATACGACGCACTGGGGTGGTTAGAATTAGTTGGAGTTATTTGGTTAAAAGTAGACGACTTGAAAACATCACAAAGACAACATCACATAGACAGAGCTGACGTCAGCATAGTGAAGTACATACAAATAACTTAACAACTGACGTCTGCTCACAGGTGTTTGGTTTTCCATACCTTCTCCTGTGGACTCCATTCTGGATGCGGTGTTGACTGTGTCGCCAAATAGACAGTACCTGGGCATTTTGAGGCCCACAACTCCCGCAACAACAGGACCTGCGATAGGTTTAAAATGATCGACAGAAATATGTTATACGTCTTTTTTTTCTGGTCGCCCTGACCTGCCAAATGCTACTTCGCTGCTCTGATCCCCGGGCCCAGAGTGTGCAGAACAGGTAGACGTGAAAAGCGGGAAGCAATTATGTGTCTCCAACCAAGCCTCATGATATCACGGCAGCTACATTGTAAAAAAAAGACTGGGAAGATATACACGTAGTGGTTAATATTTTGACAAATGTTTGATAATATTAGCTTGTCTTGCAACAGTCCGGTTTTTATTTTAGACTGCACAAACTCCCCTATTAAGAAATGTATAGGGTATTCTTAATGGCGGCTATTTCATTCGTTACCTGAATGAATACCCGCTCGAATTCTGAGCTTAAGATTCTGCCTGTGTGGGATAACAAACGTCTCACAGACTTGTACCAAGTCTAAGGCCATGCTTGCGATTTCCCCTGCGTGGACTAGACCATTGCGTTTTGGAATGCCAGATACCACCATGTCTGAAAGAAACAACAAATAATTATGTAATTTATTGCTTTGGCGAGATATCAGATTCAATATGTCTTAGACCACATCCTGCTAGTTTCATCAGACAAAGTATTTGCAAGTCTTGTAAAACGGGTCATTGTGATCAAGTATCCAAATTCTCAGCAAACTCTATTTCTCCTTTAGTGGAGTATATGACAAAAACGTTTCAGTAGCGGGAAATTTACGTGTTGTTCAAATTTTGGTAACGAAGTGAGACAGTAAAAACCCAACAAAATAATTTTTTTCTTAGAAAAAGAAACATGTTATTAACAACTCCCTTTATAACGGCCTTCCTTCTTTCCTCCTTTTGAGCATCTTCAGTTTCAGAGTTGAATAGAGGTATCCGTGTTTTTACTTACATCTGATACATGAAAAGACCGACATGGCTTTGTTCCACAAACTCTAACAGATCTGAATTTATCTTGTCTCAAATTACACCACTCCGTTTATTCCTTACAGGCATCTCCAATCGTCTCCACCTTGTACACGTCATACGCATCGATGATGGAGTCGAAAGTCACGTACAACTTGTTGAGAAGAGCCACAACTTCGTAGGGTGAACTACCGCTAGATAGACTCGTGAAGCCCACTATGTCACTGCAAGGTATACATAGGATGGGGAATTCGTCGGCTAATTCTCGATACATTCAAAACACTCGGTAACTGAGAAATTTCTGTTCTACCAAGACAATAAAATAATAGTAAATTATTTGCATGGAAGGGCAAAGTTTGTTTTTATGAAACAAAACACTGCCTAACATGCTTCAAACCTTCAAACCAAATCTTAGTCTCTATTACGTGTAATGCTCTATGGAATTGGCTAGAATTTCTGCATTTTCCTGAACCCTTTGAGCCCCTGTTTGTTTGTTTGTTCGTTACCTTGTTTGTCAGCCTATCTTAATTCTTTTCCTTGTGACACGGGCATGCATGGGCATAACATAATTTAATTTACTATATACCCAACTCTGCTTTATACCGACTTGATTTTCTTGATTTTCACCAGGATATTTCTATTTTTCATAATTTTGAAAATTCCCTTTTTCGGTAGCATAATGAAACTTTAAATGTGCACAGAATAAATGTTATACATGTTATCAACTCTATCAGTTCATACACTGTCCCTGTGTCCCGTGCAAATGCGTGCCAACAGCATATCGATAGTTAAGCAAGCTGAATCAGACAGAATGGCTATGTTAAACTTTTGCTAAGCAGACTTTTAAACAAAGCCTTCCTTAATATTTTATGCAATACAAATTGTCTCCTGCTTCATTCATGATTCTTTGCAGTTCACTATGAAGAGTTATCGTCGGCTGTTTCACATCAAAGAAAAAACACATCTTTAGCCGAACCTATAAATTATGTTCATTGTTCAGCAACATGGATGGCTGTCGTCCACTCGTCCCTTTGAATGGCTTAATTGCTACGAGACCGAGCAGTCGGGAGATTCTTTCCACGCATATCTCGTCTGTCTACTTCGTACTAAAATGCACACTTGGAGACGGTAACAATTAAAGCTGTATTGTCTGGGCTTTTTTTAAAGTATCGATTTTTCTTTTCCGAGCGAAGTTTGGTGGAAAATTTCCCGAAACGAATACAGTTACTTGTTGGTGTAATTGCAGGCCCTTATGCAGTGCCGTAAAAGTGCCCTTGTAGCATTGGGCTTACGCGAACAACAGTTCAAATGTTTTCGGTGAAATCTCTGTAACTATCAATATGTAGTGACATGGCCAGCTATAGCTAGGGAGATTGGATTCAACTCCGGTCTTTTACGTTGTCAACATGAAACCACTACAGCCACATTTCAGGATTCGCTTGGGATTTCAGGGTGTAATCCTCCCATTTAACATGTTGTTACATAGGGGTTCTCATCTACTTAACCTAACGTTTCAGGAAATACTTTATTGCCGGAAACAAGAAGAGTGGTAAAAAGCTTTTTTCGCAAACGCGACAACCGAAACCGCTTCACTTTAAAGTGCATTATTCAGCAAGACGCGTAGTCGTAAAGCCGATGTACTGTTATGTGTTTTTTTCTTCACACTGCCGGGGAATACGGTGGTGCATTATGTCTTCCAGAAATGGGACAAGATTTCTGGGATCACACTCAGCAAATGGTGATGCCTGGCAGTCGCAATGCATATATCCGCTAGACGTCAACCATAAAAGCTTTTTTTTTTCTTGATTTGGTTAAGTCAGCTGACTCTTTAAAGCCGACGTTTCGCTTATACAGCGTTAATATTGATACCTTTATATTTTTTTTGGATAAATGCCAGTTTCATCTCAAGGACCTCCTGTTGGTAAATGAAACAGAGGGGAGCTAAAGATGCTTGAAACAAAACATGGCGGTGACTGTTTTGAAGTGAAATGAAAACATACAACGCGTGGGTTCTGATCACAGAGACAAAAACGGCTCTTGTCAGTAGAATATAACAAACTCTGTTTGTCAAAGTTATTCGTAGACTTAAACGGTGACAGAGGACAAAGACTATCACACTAAAAACAGTCAACAGTGTTGGGTTCCATTCATGGTGACAAAGACTTGTCATACTGAGAAGATATTGACACCATGGGACTGTTAACTGCATGAGCCCCGAGGTGGACCAACAGAAGGCACAAGTTTCCTAGCAGCTGCGGCTCCTTTGGTCGGAACTGCACTTCGCTGGTTCACAGATGACTGTGAACTGCACGCGTTGCCAGCAAAATTAACACTCCCGCAACCAACGTGGCTCTTTTCAACCGATGTGGGGGTGCTTCTGCTCAAGGCGGATAGTACATGCATACAACCGTATAAATTCAAAGCGACGATCCGAATTTGACTAGCGCGGTGGTCGAGTGCTAAGATGTTCGCACCAGTAGGAATGCAGGAGGTCAGTGGTTCGAATTTTATCGGAACAAGCATGTTTTACACAAGCATTGAAAACCATCTTCTTGAAAAGTGAAAGTCATTTACAGACACTCGGGCAAAACAAGTTTTATTTTGTCAACATGACAAGCTCTTGAATATTAATGCTTAAAGTCAGCTTTGAGCTACTTTGCACGAGTTGCTTCAACACTTGCGGTTGGAGACTTTGGAAAGTCATTAAAAAAGCAATTTACCGGTAACCTTTTGAACCCTCACTTTATTAAAAAGAAGCAAAGTTGCCCACACCTACACGTACATGCCAATTCAGCACCGAACTAACATTAATCCGAAAAGGATATGGCCGCCTTGTGCATTAAATCCCAAGGAGGGTGAACGGCCAAGCGTTCTGCACAAGATACTGCATTTCAATGAAGGCACCAGACATAGCGGGTATTTTCGTCCTTGAAATTGGCTTACACAGTGGATGTTCCTCACACCCTTTATCGTTTCCAGGATTACTACGGAGTCAATAAAATTTTGATAGTAATGTAAAACTGTTGTCAAATGCAATTTTCAGAAATTTCACCGACTCAATAACGTCCTGCACGGCGAATGCCATTCTGCGTCAGACCTAACGCAATATACCGGAAGCCAAAATGTCACTCGACGATTGTCATCAGAATGTTATCGACCTCTCCCCTATGGAAAAATAAAGAAATCTCAAGTTCAGCGTTCCGTTACCTGAAAAAGATGGTGCAACTTTCGAAGGCCTCAGCCTTGCTTGGTATACCTTGCCGTAGATCATCGGCCACTGGCTTGGGAAGCATACCTAGTAAGTTTAAAATGAGACAGTTATCTTGGAAATTATAAAGCAATAAGAGCATGCTACCTAAGGAATTTTCGATGAACCATCAGAATAAAGGAGAGCAGTTACAGAAGTAAAAAGACTCTGGTTATCTCAAAATATAAACGGCTTCAAGGAGAGAGTAGTATCCTATGAAACGGACCTGGTCGTTGGGTGAATTTCAACAACACTCGTTCATATTCAAATCCTACTTGCCTAGATTTGCATCCTCTTAACAATGCACAACTGCGATTAACTTCGTTAAGTTCAAACATTGTAACGCTCTGTTACTGCACCTGTGACGTGATCTTAAGTGTGTTTGACAAACTACAGTCCTGGATGCCATTTTTCTAAATGGTGTAAATGTGGGGACTGGGGTGTTACTTGAACGTTTACAGATCAAAGTTATTGCAAACGATTGTATCTGAAGCTGCTGATATGATACAGATTTGAAACGAAGTGGTAACATTTGCGAAAAGGTGCATACTGTACAAGGTGTGTATAGTCAAAATCCAGAATGGAAGACGTTCACAATGAAAACAAATGACTTTAATTGATTCATTTTGCTCAAGTGCTCATGTAGCCTGCTAAGAACAGCTGGCCTTCACCTTTTCCAACATGTCTTGTATCCTATGCACTCCTGTTCGACTTACTATAGAGTAGTCGGTCCGTCTTCTGTTTCTCCAGTTCTAGATCCTGTGTTCTCTCAGCAACCAGCGTCTCTAAGTGCTTGGAGTATTTCTCCATTAACTGCATCATCATGTCGACAGGGCTGAGCTTGCTAGGGTTGATACTATGTAACGTGGACTTGATCTGAGAGAAAGCGGGTCGCAGAGTCGGATTCGACTGCCAACACCGCTCGATCAGCTGTTCCAAAGCAGATGTATTAAATTGAAAGATCAGAAAAGGGTAGTCACTATTAAGGGTTTGTAAAGTGGGGACAAGAATAAAACAGGTTTTAACGGTTTAGTAAGAAAGAGCCAGAAGAAGAGACGACACAGAAAGGTGAAGAAAATTGAAGGATGTCAAAAAGAGGAGGTATTAACGATGAGCATTGGCATTGAGTTTCGCGTACAATTTCTGGGACAGACAATGTATTTGCTTGTATCTATTGCCCTATACAAAGACAATACTATAGGCTTTTATTTAACCGTTGAAATGGGGGTCAATACTAACACCGTGTGCTGACGGGAAGTGCACGTGCTTTAATTTAGACGTTAAGCTGAAGATGCTTTACGTTTGTAAAAATGTAATGAAACCGATAGGAGTCATAAAGAAAGATAAAAGAGAGGATTCATAGTTGTTAAACAAGACAGTTCACACACACAAGACATTTGAAATAAGTATCCAGACCTTTTTGTACTCGTCGGGGCACGGGCATCTTTCGTCATCCGGCATGACGTCAGAAGAGTTGAGATCGGGAAGAACGGGGCGCCACCTACCGTCTATTTTATCCAGGTCTTGGGATTCACAGGGTTCGTTTCTCGTGGCGATTTCAACTAGTATTACTGCGAAACTGGGAAGACAGAATTCAATTAAAATTACCGGTCGCCATAAAAAGGTGGAAAGCCTATCGTACAGGTCGCTCGACCTCTCAGAAATCCATTTCCCTGTCAGTCGATGACCTACATATTTTTGATATCTATTTCAGGAAGTGGTACTTTTTGGCAGGTAAAAAATCCCCGCCTTCTCTTCGTTCTACTAAAACAACACAGGCTGAAATCCAGATTGATCGAGCAGAAATAGGAACACATGCCTTTGACAGGTTCCAAGGCGAGAAGGTGTCACGGAGTGCAAGCGCATGGAAAGATGGAAGACAGAAAACAAGCCGTGTGTATCGGAAAGATTTCAGTTGGTTCAACACTGCCCATGTGATATTGAACGGGGGCCATACTGCTTCGCGCGGCGGGCGGCCGCCTGTCTCAAAAACCCGCCGAGATTTAATGCAAACGCACGGGCATTCGTCACATTCTGACGTGTATAGATGGGCGCATAATTTACTCGGACAGTGCAAATTCCGAAGTCATTCAACTGTTCCTTGACTTCAATCACCGAGAAAATAATAAATCACAGGGAGGAGACAGAAGAAAGGGAGAGGAACGGCTAATTGGTTCTGGCGCTGAGAACATGACGCACGATCACATGGCAATGTCAAATGCTATCCATCTCAACTGCTTGTACAGAGAATCATCAAACCCAACTTATGTTACCATAACCCAGTCAAAAATTTCCAGCAGATGCATTTTATCATCTGGACATCATGCCATACCTCGGAGTCTCACTTTACGCATTTGATATTCTTGTTTATCCTTGGTCGCCTAATCAGATGTGACATCTAACGCCGGCACAATACGGCCGCAATTAGACACTGGTAATTAAAGACATCTTTAAAGATGCTGTTGAATACATATGAAGGTTCCGAAAAGGTTTCTGCTAAGCAAAATCCAACAAACGAATGAATAAGAATGCTACTTACATCACTACCTAGTAGAGGCACCAGAAATGGGAACTTGATAACAGTGTATGGGTTCGCGTTGTGGGTTTTATTTGAGGTGTCGAGTACGTCCCTTTGCACCTCTTAATTAAGAAGACTACCTGATATCTCTTGTTGCTCACTTGAACTAAACAGTGCTCTTCGGTCATAAAAAAATTCCATTCTTTTCTTGAAGAATGAGGGCACAGTTACTCCAAGCTTGTTGCTACATCAGGACATTGCCAAGCTAAAATGTGCTCATTAAAAATATTCGAAAAATCGAAAGAACAATTTGCTACTTTGCCTGTATTGTCATGACCTAAAATAAAAACGTACCACAAAAGTAAACAAAATTTACGACAGAGAGACATAGTCCAAAATTTTGGCAAATTTTAGCACAGAAATAACTGTAATAGGACCTACTGAGATTTCGTCCTTGGACGACATCATCTTTTTGAATAATAGCCTAATGCAAATTTGATTACATATAAGTCGTAACGAACCCAAATGACCTTTAAGATGCCACAATAAAATTGTAAGTTTACATGGACCTCAAGTAGCATTTACAAACACTTTATTAAAAACAACACCACGCATGCGCCCTTTCAAAATATCAAACATTCGTACAAAGCAGGACCCCCCTACAAAGGCTAGATCTTTCTGGACTGATAAAAACCGACAGACATGCGTTAATTCCTTCTAAAAACATCTGTCGTAACCCGGTAATTGCTGCACGGTAACTGCATTCCCGCGATATAGGCTCATTACCTCGAAGTAATCATCCGTAACCTTATGTGCATAAGACATTAACTACTGGGCACCACACGTTACATGCCCAAACTATACAAAGTTCAAAGCAGTAGCGTGACGAAGTCACTTGGCGCCTCATTTTCTGGAGACTTCAGTGTAAGCAGTCATTCAGTGGGTTGGATAATACTTTTTGAACAGTACAGAGCCCCATGACATTCCACCTTCATGTTGTACTCCCTTTGGTATGCTACGCCACTGAAACAGTAAATACACCAGTTAGGCACTATAATAGACGGCCATGACGATTTGTCCGGTGGTATATATGCGTACGAATACTGCTAGGCTAAACAACCATCAGACTCGATCTGGCTGTCACTCAGTGGACATTACAGGCAACGAATAATATACACATAACTTAAAGTTACAATGCGTTTCTGCCAATATTTCTAGATAATGCAGTTAGTTTCGGTTGTATATCCGGGTTTTCATTCCGGGGAGGGGTGGGCAAAATGGGAATCCTTTTCTAAAACGATTGTCCACTTTTTTTCGTCTCTAAGAGAATCCCCCGGAAGGTGTTCATACCGCTTTTAAAAGGGATGCCGCTTTCATTTTCTGAAAATAATGGCACTGTGTCCTCCTTTCCCTCACACGCTTGAGAACGCCTCTGGTTGATTTGCCTCTGCGCATGGAAAGTGGATGCAACGTGACCAAAAACGTAGGATTTTGGAAACACTTGCCACAAAGTTTGTTGAAGTAAACATTCTTATGTACCCCACGGCATAAAATGATTGATTGCCACTGAACAATGGTCTGGTAAATCGATACCTGATGTTTTATTTGCTATGCACAACTGCTATTAAAAAAGTATAAAACTAGTCTTCATACGTGCCTGTTTAAAGAGTACTTACAAATATGTTTGAGTTCTTTCACTTTTTTAAATCATGTTCTCATTACTAAATTAAACAGACTCCAAACCAAACATGATCGGGTCTATCGTCATCACCGGCATAGTTTAAAATCCAGTTTGTCTGTAGCTGCCAAGATGCCAAAGAACTTAATGCAGATGATTAGCATTACAAAAAAATCTATTGTTATGATGCATTATCGTGCATATATTTGGTTAATCATTAAATTTTGTCCGTTATAAGTGTACTTGATTAAAATAAAGGGAAATTCGAAATAGTTTACATCTCGAAAGCAATTCTTTGATTTCGTGGCTCGACACGAAAAAGAGACAGATTTTACCTATAAACATCCACGGCCGGCGTGACGGCAGAGTTGGGAAATTCCAGTATTTCTGGGGGAAGGTAAACTCTAGCAACCAAGGCCGCATAGGTCTCGTTCTCGCCCGGTTGAACTCCTTCAGTTTTCCGGTACTCTCGCAGACCGTAATCTGACCGAAAGGAAGTGAGGAAAAAGAGCAAGTCAACAACGGCCGCGTTAGGCAGGGGTCAAGAAAAACAGACCGCAAACGGTTCAGACACGTCTCAAGCAAGGCTAAAACCCCAACTGCTTTATCGTATCGTTTCTCCAGCTATCCATATCTTTATGGACGTGCAGATTCTATGGCATTTTGTGCTTGTTTAATCCAGAAAAGAGGATATCTAAACTGCATCAGTTCAAACGGAGTGTCTGAGGGACATTGTCATAATTGTTTCCTGTTTGGAAGGCGTACTTTACCGTTACTTGGTAGACTAGGGATTACTAGTTGAAGTGTTATGGTCTCTGATCGATTGGTCTGAATGCAATATAATTGATACAATGCCTTACCTATCAGGCTTCATGACTACAATACCTTTTTACATTATGGCATCCGTTTTTAATTTACGGTTCTCATTTGCGACCGACCCATATACGCAACACCTGACCTTAAATTTAATTTAAAAAACAGACTCCGATTTTGTGAAAAAGAGGGACAATTATGTTCCACATATTTTACTTATCAATTGGACATTCGCATTTGTCTCCAAAATAA